GCCCCGCGCCGCCCGCGGCGTCACCGCCCGCCCCGGCCCCGGGAGGGGAAGGGGTGGCTCCCGGGCAGGGGCTCCCGGCGCGTTTCGGGACAGAAGGCGTGGGGCGGGGACTGCGGGAGCCGAGCGGCGAGTGTTGGCAGCCGCCCAGCCCCGGCCCGCTCGCTGTCCGTTACTCACTGACAGCGGTGGCATCCGAGTGCATTTTCGGGCAGCTCACAGCCCGCTCGCCGCCCAGGCTCCCGCGCTCGCCTCGCGGTCCCCCCACCGGTTCACCGCACCTCGGCTCGGAGCTGAGGACCCGCCGCCTGACACGCCCAGCCCTCCAAGCCTGCCTTCCCCATTGGCTGAGCCGCGGCTGAGAACCCGCCCTCCCGCGTGTCTCATTTGACAAAAGGAGTGCCGCGAGCACCTTTCTAGAGCTGGCAAGGAGGCCCCACCCCCTGGGGTCCAATGCGATTGGTTCTAGGGCCTCGTGTCTGTAACGCCCCTGGCGGAGGCCACGCTCTGGAATAGCCGGTTGGACCTGGCTGCTGTCAGTCATCCCCGGGGGTCCGAGAGCGCGTGTAGGGGCGAAGCTGGGGAATTGGTCCACCTTGACCCTGAAACCCCGCCCCGTGGCGGGCGGGATTGGTGGAGCTGGAGACCAACCGAGAAAGATGGGTCGGCGTCTGAAACAAAGCACGCGAAGTGTTCCCGAAAGAACCGAGGAGGGGACGCGCAGTTGGGGCGGCGTGTATCGCAGTGCTCGGAGTAGGGAAGTCAGCCGGTCCCCAGCGCCTGGCGCGACGCCTCCGGGTCCCCTACCGCTCGCCCCACGCCTCCGAGCGGCTCTGCGGGAGCCCGGCCCGCGCCGAACTTGGCCGCGGACTTCTCTTGCCAGCTGTTTCCTCCCGCAGGAAACTGGATGCAGAACTGCCGCGTCTCCATTCCTAGCAAACCCTCTGGCGGGGAGCAAATTCCCATTTCTCCTGCAACATCCACCACCTCCCCACTTTAGAAATGCACTTCTTTACCAGAGTCGGCGCCCTTCGCCCCCTTCGTCACACATGGGCTGCTGAAGAGGCTCTGAGTGCCACAGGCATTGTCTGTCACACATCTGTGTGCCCCAGACAGCACACGGAAATGCGGGGCCCGCTCTGAGCTGCGGAGTCAGCCTGGCACGGCGACAAGTCCAGGGGACAGGTCACCAGCCCACGAAAGACAGCATCATCTGAGAAAACCTCAGTCACTGACGCGGGGAGGCCGTCCAGAAAACGAAACTGGCTGTTATTGGGCAGAGGGAGGAGTTAATTTAGGTGAATTCTTCTGCCTCTCAGTCAAGAATTCGCACCGTTTTCCTGAGTTCTGCCCTGTTTTTTCAGTGCTTGAAAGCAACTCATCACACACTCACCACGTTATGGTAACGGAATAACATTTCGAGATAGTAACGGAGGACCCACCACCACCACCACCAACCCCAACAACACTACACGTTATCACTACTTCCCTGTGTCCCAAGGCCCTGCCCCAGCGGGCGGCCTCAGAGTAGGGAAGACACCACAAACCACAGGTAACAAAACGACCAGTCGCTTTGGTTTTAGATTGCTACAGCCAACGCTTTTGAATTTCAGGCATCTGGAAATTGAAGTTTCAGATCAGAACATAAATGTTACACAAGAAACAAAATGTTTGAAAGAAGTGGCTCAGACAAACCAATTCCTATGTCCTACAACAATCCCGTTGGAGTATGCTCTCTCTTAATCTCCAATTTCTCTTTAATAAATTACATCCTTATCATTTTATTTATATCATATTTTTATCATTCAAACATTTCTGAATCACTTTATCTAATTATAGAATTTCAGAATTTTACCTGAAATTGTTTATTATTTACTTTAGGTTCCTTCGCAAGGCAAGAATCTCATAGAACATTCCTATTGGTCACCTGTAACGTGGTGTACACCTCAGCCGGCCCGTGATGATGGGCAGGTACCTCTGGACTCTGAGATAGATTATTCCTTGTTGGGTAGATCTAGTTATGAGACTGTCCGCCCTTACCCTGAGTAGGCAACCTGCTCCTGCTTTCTTTATCCCATTTATGTTTTTAGCTTAATCTTCATCTGGGAAATAAATTATATATCATTTTATACAAATTTCTGATCTTTTGTGTATAATATTTGTATGGGGTATTTTGTTGTTGTTTATTGTTTATCAGGGTACTTCAAGGGCTGAGACACTTGTTATTTTGCACAGAAAAGGGCTTGCTTCTTGACACCTCTAGATTAAAATAAGCCCACAATTAATATGTTTTAGGTAGCCATTTGCCATATTAATTTATTTGCAGCGAACTTTATAATAATGTATCTGATAACCAAGCTATATGAAGGACCTGCCAGCTGCTTTGCCCCTAGCTCCCAGCACTCCCCTGGCACATACATGGTATCCATAAAAATTTATAGAATGTACACCCTCTGTCATTCCTCAACATTGCTTTCAGCTGGGTCAGTATGATTATTTTTCAAGTAAAACACAGACTGTGAGAGTAATTTACCCAGATCTTTGTAGTGAGTTAGCTACAGCATGAGGATTGAGAGGCAAAGCTCATTCTTAGTCTGTAAGCCTCACTGCCCCAAATGTTTTTTGATTATTAAACCTTTTTTGTTAAATTGCTTCCTTATTTTTTTGCGGTTCTTCCCTGGTCATTTTAATAATCTACATGAGTATAAACCTTTGAGGTCAGGAGGAAGATCGTTATATTTATCTTTTTATTTCTCTAGCACCTAGTACAGTGCTTTCAAATACAGTAGTAGGAACTGGGAAACCGTTATTTAAAGTGAACTGAATGTTGACTTTACATGAAATTTTAGCTCTAGAAGGAACCTTAGCAATTATCAGATCCAACTTCCTCATTTCAAGAATATGAGACTTGAGGTCCAAAGGAGTTAAATGTCTGTCTAATCCAAGTCATTCGGGTAGCTAGTAGCAAAGCAGTAGTTAAACTCAAGTTTCCCAACTCCTACTCCAGTCTTTTCCCCCGCACCACACTGTGCAATATTAAAGCTTCAAATTCCAAAGATGGGTAAACTACTCTCCCTTCCCTTTTGAAAGTTGTTGTACCAATATAATGCAAATTCTATACTTCGTAGTTGGAAGATTGCCTTCTTTTTTGTGAAATTCAGTAAGGATTTTTTTCATTATATAATACAGTATTTCAATTATTTTCTCATTGGTAGCATTCCAAAATAACATGATTCCTGTGGGGATGTTTGCTGAGATAATAATGTTATACTTCTGTGCATTTATATTCAAATCTCTGGAGAAAAAAATTAATAATTGAGTGTCTTGGGACTGTGATGGGTAGAGATAGTTGAGGATGCAGTCTTTATGCCATTTCATTTCACCTGGTCACTGCTTTAAGGTAATAGTAAAGCAAGTTACCTCATGTTAATAATACCTAATTTAATTGGAATTTTTCTGTTTTATTAGTTGTACAATATTGATTTTAACCAGATATATTTTGAAATGCCCTAAGCCTAGGTTAGAATTTGATACAGAAAAGTCTAGTGAGAGAAAGAGCAGCAGAGGAATTTATTGAGAAATTTATTTTCCCTCAATAAAATTTTAAACTTTCTCTCCAGTTCCACAAATCCCATTATAGCATGTTTGTCCTGCATGCGTTGGGGTTGGAATAAAGTTTGGCCTGCTCAGACAGATAAATGTGCCCCAGGTAAGATGTCAAGAGAATAAGAAAGAACACACGGCAGGGAGGAATTAATTTGGCCTGAGATTACAGTGAGAGAGTTTATGGAACTCCTCTAGTTATAAAAAGTCAGGCTAAGTGGGTTTCCAGGATATGGAAATAAAAACAAACCAAAAAAATAGTAAATGTATCCATAGAGGGCAGGATGGTTTATTTCTCCAAACCCAGCCAACTGAAAATTTGCTGTCCCAAATGCTGACAATGTTTTTCTTTATGCATCCTATGTGACAGGTTCTACTCTAATAGTGCTGTACTTGTAAACTATTCTACCTAACCTCACAACAGCCCAATGGGGCACTAATATTATCCCCAATTTACAGATAAGATAACTGAGGCTAAATAAGTAAAAGTGCCCCTAAGTAGTGAAACTCCCTGTGGATAATATTCCTGTGCTGGGCTTCAGTTCCTTCTCTTTTTAATCAGGTTAACATATGCCCCTATAGGGGGTGGGGAATTAGAAGTCTTAGGAATATTCTATTTCTTGATCTGGATGCTGGTTCGTTGGGTGTGTTGAGTTTGTGAAAATTTGTCCACTGTATACTTATAATATATGCACTTATGTATGCCATTCTTCAAAAGAATTTAAAAAAAAAATGCCCCTATATATCTCAGAGATTTTTTTTTTTTGAGACAGAGTCTTGCTCTGTTGCCCAGGCTAGAGTGAGTGCCGTGGCATCAGCCTAGCTCACAGCAACCTCAAACTCCTGGGCTCAAGTGATCTTCCTGCCTCAGCCTCCTGAGTAGCTGGGACTACAGGCATGCACCACCATGCCCAGCTAATTTTTTTCTATATATTTTTAGTTGTCCAGATAATTTATTTCTATTTTTAATAGAAGCAGGATCTCACTCTTGCTCAGGCTGGTCTCAAACTCCTGACCTCGAGCAATCCTCTCGCCTCGGCCTCCCAGAGTGCTAGGATTACAGGCGTGAGCCGCCGCGCCCGGCCTACTCAGAGATTATTAATAAGGATACGATAATGTAGATGTGTATGTGCTTTTAAAAGATAGTGAAACCAGGCCTGTTTCCAGGGATGAGCATCTAGCTACATGGGCTGCCTTTGTAGACAGATATTATGAAAAGTATGAGTGAGAAAGCTTACTTCCAGGTTACTAAATTCTTATGTATTTTACCCTTTTGACCTTATTTTAACAGCAACTCCCTACTTTATAGTATATTCTTAATGAGATTAGTTATCCAGAGTACCTACTGAGGTTCTGCTGAATATTATAAATCCTCTGCTTTGATATATCACTGACAATGGGAAAGTTATTCAGTCTTGCTGGAATTAACCTTTTAACCAATGAGGCCTGTGTTATTGGGAAACAGTTTCATCTCTTAAGCTTTTATTGACAAAGAATGTCACTGTAACATATGTTGTTTTTCGCATATATACATAGAACAGTTTTGCAAATAGCCACTTGCCAGCTGCTACTAGGACAATAAACATATTCCTTTCATTTTTCAAAACCTCCATATAGTCAAGTCCCAATTATCAGGTTAATGGAAAGATCCCAGAGGTAGACATTTTCCTTATTGTGCCAAGGAAGACATCCTCTCCTCACACTGGTAGTGACTGACAAGCTGAGAAGATGACATTGTTTGCCATCTATCTTCCTTTACTATGCTTTTTCTTTCATCAGCTTCCTTTCCCCCATCTGACCCTCGAGGTCAGAAAACTGAATTTTAAACACAGGCAGGCGGCCTCTTTATAATCGGCAACAGGTTAGTTTGTAGAATTGATATGCTTCTGTAATTTGGGCTTATTATGGATATTCAAGGGACTTCCATTTTTTTCATCAGCC